ATCGCGACTACACTGCGCATGATGCAGTCTGGTGCATAATGTGCTACATTCGTTCCTACTCGATGCAGCTGACTGTTGCGAGTGAACGTACGAAAGGATTCGCGATAGCGGAACAAGGGCATACTCTGACTGTTAAATTGCGTGCATTAATGCGATGTTTAATTAGACAGGAAACATCGCGCGATTGAGTTGAAGCTTCAAAAAGAAATTCTCGTTTTTCCCTTCGGCACAATCATCTGTTATACTTTTTGCATTTTGTATATGTTTTGAATATATAACATAAAAATATTATTCTCTTGATAAAAGTTGAAAAATAATCTATGATACATGTAATTAATGTGTGCTTGACGTTGAATTATATTTTACAGGAAACTTTAGTTATCAAAATTATTAATTGTGTGAAAATTAATATAATTATGTGAAATAATCACTTTGGCTGAGAGAATTTCTCTCCCCAATTCATCCGGGAAGTGTAATTAGTGTCAGGAACAAACCACATATGATTTCATCTATATATGAGCCGCGATCGTGAAGTAACCGCGATTTTGCGATCATTGCACTCGCGCGGTTGAGGCTCCTCTTAGAATTACTCTCCTTCTCTCTTCCGAGATTAAATCTCGTTTAGAGAAAAATTATTTATTTCGAACTAAAAACTCTTGACAAATAATATAAAAAAATTAATGACGAAAAAGCGACTCGACCAACAAACACGGAGTCTTTTCCGCAAACAGCGTAATTTTCGATTCGAGTCGGGAAATCTACGATCGAGGGACAGTAACGTTATAAGTAGTTAAATCTTTAGCGCGCTGGGACAACAACTCGCATACGGTAGTATTGTTAATGAACCGTCGCGAACGTTTCACGGCTATTGCGCGCTTCCGAGATGAGAGAAAAAAGCGAGACCGAGATGAAGAGAGGAGAGGCATATATTCTCGAGAACGTCGTAGTATCGACTGGCCAATCGCCGGTCGTGTCGAGCTCACGCCATGCACGACGTCGGCGCCGTTGTGCGAATCCATTCTCCTTTCGGATGCTGAGCCAACACACATTCGATCCATTGACGCGACGATGGAATTGAGTTCTCTCGACGCGTCCTGTGAAGGAAAAAAAGAACCGACAGCGTAATTAGCGCGAAAGGCGTGGTCTTTTTTTTGGCAGGAAATGTTCGAAATTGGATCGATCGAGCGTTTAAAATTAAATTTCCCTCTCGCGCGGATGAAGGGAAATAACCCTGGGGGTAAATGGGGGTAAATTCGAATCGCGCGTTTTGTTTTCGGCCTTTCTTGCGATCACAAAGAGAATGAAATACGATAGAATGCATATTTTATTTTATAATTTTATTTTTGGAAAATTTTACACCTTTGACAAAGCTAAACGATTATTTATTTAGAGCGATATTATTATTCTATTATTGGATTAAGCCAGAGGCGAATAAATAGAGCATAGAAAATTTTAACAGAAGAACTAATCCAAGATTAGCCGGATCACGATTCTCTAATCCAACACATCTGGTTTTCGCATCTGTGTTTCTTCCTCTTTTTGTTATCTGGCTACCTAGAAGCTTTTCTTCTGTCTACCTGTATTTTCTCGAACATTAAAAGAATTATATGGTATAATGATATAATTAATCAGTATAATATAAAAAAATATTAATGTTAATAAATTAAAAAACAGAAATAGAAAAATGTCTTTAGATACATCATACTTGATAGAACCGATTATCAAAATGAATCATTCACTTTGCGCGCTTATTAGACTCTGATATTTAAACTTTGTATCACATCGCACTTTGACATTCTTTTTATTATTTTTGTATCATTGCTGTCTTAACAACATGTCTTAATACGATCTACAAGATCCAAGGAAGATGATGAGAAGGAAAACGCAGTCGTAAAAGTTATTTATAACGGCGGCAAACTCGCGCTTTTCACGATTGACCGACGAGACGTCCATAATCGAGAAAACTAATGCATAAGATGAAAGGAATCAACGAAGTATATTTGAGAAAAAAAAGGATTCCCGATTCAGCGACTTGGCCTCAATATTTTTTTGCCTTCATGGATCCGGGGAAATTTACTAAAATAACAATCTCAAATTGAAATTTATTTTAATAACTTGATATTGGATCACAAACCATGGAAAAATTAGCTATTATTGCTAAATTTTAGCTATGACACATGAAATTTAGTTATCATGCTTAAATTAGCTATATGACTAGCTAATATTTTTTAACTACAGGATTTTCCGTTTAAGCTAAAAATATATATATAAATTTTTGTTACCATAGCTAAAAATAAATGATAACTAAATTTTAGGTTGTAATATAGAGACAGCTAAGCTATGGTGACTAATTTTTTCCCCATGAAATTACGTATGTAAACGACAAAAAATTAATTTTTCTTAAAACATTTATCATTTGATTATTTTTTTTTCTTGAAATTAAAATTTATATTTACATTGAGGACTTCACTAAATTCTTAACATTTTGTAAGAAATGTCCTTTACACACGCAAATATGCATATCGATCATTTTTCATTAAATTGCATCGCAGTTGCGTGTGCAGTTTCGCGACATATTGCACGAAAGCAAACGCCGTTTTTTTTACGTGCTTGTTTGAGTCGCGATAAAGCTTTGAATTAAGTGCACGAGCACAAATTATGGTTATTTTGTAAGTATAAATAATATTTTTATAATCTTACTTTTATATAATATAATTCTCTATATAATTATTAATTGATCTCACATGTATATTACATTTTCTTTTCAAAGAGACAATAAAATTAAAGTAGCTAATGACATGATATGTGCGTTGGAAATAAATATCGTTCTTCGATACGTTCGATTATTGAGTTATCTCTGCAGGTTATCGATTTTACCTGACAAAACTGATCTCATATATTTATGAGGTGACATTGTTTTCTCGATATTTCTGTGTGTGTTCCCGATTGAATGCAATTGAAATCAATATACGGTGAAGGCAAGGAATTCGCAATCTGATGTTTTATCGTCATTCTCCTGTTTACCTGATCATTGATGTCTTTTGACCGCCGATAATCCGGCGAATGATGATCTCGTAAAGCTACAAATCATGTCGCGATAACACGCGTTTACACGCATAATCTTTGCATTGATTGATAGCTCCGTGAATCATTTCGAGGGATTAAGCTTTATCTTAAAAATGCCAGTGCTTCCTATACAACCGTAAACACTGCCATTCAGATATTGCGACAGAAAAAATAAACTGTGTAAAACAAGAAAAAAGATAATAACTTAGAAATATTTTGAAACGATATAGTAACTGGAATATATGAAAATATAAGGTACAATAAGCACACAAAATATTCTGCCTATATTTTTTATATATTTTTTACATTAGTAAAATGAACGAACGAATTTTTAAATAGCTTTCTCTTATTCAATTTCGTATTTAAATTAATATTTATTACTTTTTAATGGATATTTCGATTCGATAAATTTTTATTTGATGATGGAATTGCGGAGCGTATTTTAAATATGAATTATATACATCGTTTAATGATTGACAAAATAGCGCAAAAAATATGTATTGCTAAATTTAATTATCCAAATAAAGAAACGATTGTGTATAGTCGTCATTGTTAAGAAGATTGGATTTATCTGCTGCATGATGGTCGGGTCATTTGTCTTCTATATAATGAATATATTGCGACCAACAGTTTTGACGATCTCTCGTCCAACCTCCTGACAGAAACACATAAAATGATAGCAATACAAAGCGCAACTTTGTACGTATCAAATGTCGATTCAATTCGAGAAATTATCAGTATCAAACTTTTATTTCTCATTTAATTTTCTTTATCGTCAACACGCGCAGTACTTTCTTTTTCTTAATGTAAGAGGAGAATTAATGTAATTGGCCGATTATAGAATATCGTAAAATGAAGACAAGCCAAGTATTTTAATTTTGCTATCGACACATTTGTATATATGCCACCCACACATAAGCACTGCTACTATTTTTAATCACATCTTGTATATCTATAAAATGTGTAGTGGTTTATAAAATTATCTGTATGTACGTGTGTCCGTATATTCTTGTACTCCATATTGCGCATTAAATCGTTGACCCAGTTGAAAATAGAAGCAACTACAAATGTTCTATTTTCAGAGACGAAAATCTATTTTAGAAGAAGATAAATCTTGCCAGAGAAAAATGTCCCTGAGAGTTTTCGGAAGATTTACTTTGTGTCAGAAAGTTCTTCGCTTCTTATTTTACAGCATCGATTTAGACTTTTCTGAGCTATCGCAAAACATTGTTGTTTACTGTCCGCGCACCTTTCCTTGCACAATAATCTGCGCATATTGAATCCGATATACATATACTGCGACACACAAAGGTCATCCTTGAACATTCACTTTTCCACACGACGCGATCGCCATTCATATAGAGGCATGCTTTGTCGCACTTATTCTTTTCCAAGGTTGGGTAATAACTAATTAATTAGTTCAAAGTTATAAGTAATAACTTTTAACTTAGCTTAGTTAATTTAAAATGTATTAATTTTTAACTTCCAATTTTTTTTATCTCTGAATACCATTATTGTTTTTTGATAAGTTATAAACGTATTCGCGTTATTTTAAATTAAAGTAAAATTAATTATTATATGTTCATTTGTCATCAATTGTAATCGCCAAAAAATACATTTCTATATAAAAATCAAAATTTCTTTATTATTTGTTTTTATAAATTTTAAAACTTTAACTGAGTTCATTTTTGTTCGTGCAACTTTTAACTTAACTAAATTAATTTTATAAGTAAACTAACTTTAACTTAACTTCGTTTAAAAAATTATTAACTTACTCAACCCTGTTCTTTTCTGCCTATCATCGTCGATCTCCCTCTCCTTTGATGTCTTTCTGAAACGATTGATTTGTAGTTTTCCTCGTTTTTTTCCTGCTAGACGAAGCGAAATTTTTTCCGTCGATCGCTACGAAAGTTTAACGAAATACGTATTTGCAGGAGGGCGAACTTCTAGAAAAGAACACGGATTGGATCTACGAATGGAGCTCGCGACCGGACCAGGCGCCGCCAAAGTATGATATTCTCGATTTGACAGTTAAATGTCTTTGTGTGAAAATAGATTTTTTTATGCTTTTTGCATTATTAATTATTTATTATGATTAAAATTGCTATTGATTATTTTTAACAAATTGCTGTTACACTTGAATGTCTATGATATACATATATATAAGTAAATCAAGGAAGATGCATTAAAAGTTAGCATGCTAATTTTAGTTATGTCATATTCTGAAACATTTATCCGCAAATTACATCGTACATTTGTAAAAGAAATTTCGCCACGCGTCCGCAGTCACCTCGACGATCTGCCTTATCTTTTTACAGAGACTGGAAATTTAAGCATCCCTTGGGCAGTAAGAGGAAAACATACAGCATCCGCACCGCAAAGGTTGGCAAAAACGGATTGTTTTCCAAGGAGGTCATTTACACCCTATTCTTTACGAATCTTTTGTCTCTGCTCATCGGCACCGGTCTAGGGTAAAGTTACTTGTAACGTGCTTGAAGCGTGTTATGTTAATTGTCGCACGCTCTTATATTGCTAATTAGGCTCGCTGACTTCTGTTGTAGCGTTTTGCTCACTAGGCGGAGCTTGATGATGTCCCGCGTCGCCATTGAGTGAAGAAGATGATGATTTGGGGTGTGTCAGCATCAGGATTTGGTCACGGTTGAATCTGACACGGTGGGGAAGGCTAGAGATGCAAGAAAGACTGAACAAGTCGGTGGGCGATCGAGCCTAAAAACAGTAAACACGCAGCACATAATTCGATTGTCCCGATTTATAATATTAGCACTTTGTATTATAAAAGTTATGTAATATTTTCATCGGTGAAAAATTCCGTTTATTTTGAATCGAAGAACTCAAAAAACGCATTCTATATATTATACTATATAATGCATTTCGTAATTTAAAACTGAGGAATTTTTTGCCGGTGAAAATATTACATAATTTTTGCTTATTAATTAAATAATCCCATAAAAGAAGTTGAAAGAATAATTTTAACGTGTACATTTTGGAGAAGCTAGAGTTTGTATGGAAACGTTTTGCGAATGTGTGATATGTATATGCTACATTTTTCAGTAAAAGAAATTTGCGACGATATGATGCTTTCGAAGATCGATTTTGTACTTTAGATGAGGAAATGGATGGAGATAGTAGTATAATCACTAACTTATCGAACATATGCACAAATGAATTTTGCGGAATAATCTTTTTGAGTTTCAATTAGAAATGAGTATCGATTAAAACTGTGACAGATTGAAAAAAATATGTCACTTGTATTAGTGATTTAGGTAAGTCATATTTGGATATTTAGATAATGCTAAATACATGTTAGAAATTGTGCATACGTTTTTTATTTGCAAAATCAGCAACGCAATTCCTGTTATGTGAATTAACAGATTTTCTTTCCATATTCTTAGATAAGTTGCGCGTTATTTAATTTACAATAATGATATTCAACGTACTTTTTATAAGCAATTATTTTGTAATATTGTATGTATGTTGTCATACGCATAATAATAATCGTATTCCGTATATAGTAGTTGGCGTTGGTGACTTTTTAGCGTTGTGTCAAATATTCGATTCTCTTTCCATCAATATATTTTTTTGAAGCTGTTTATCTTTGCTAAAATTTAAAGTTTTAATTATGGATAATTTATACATAAGAGCGCTTCAAAGAATAAAGGGTTTTATAAGTGCATACTTATGATGAAGTATTCAATTTTCATAAATAGTTTGCATTAATTACTTTTTTGAAATTGTGCCCTAATCTTTGTTCTGCTTTGTAATTTGACTCTCAAAAATCGAATTTGAAGTGACAGAAATTGAACTCTAGACAATTTCAGTGCTATAAGTAGCACACAAATTAAAAATGGATTTAACCTTTTTCTCTTACAACTAGGCAATATACTAAAATAATGTTGCAATTGTATCACGAAAAATGTATCGAACAAACTTTTTTATGTCGGACGAGGAATCGACTGATGAGAAGCACGAGAGTAATGTAAAAATTTTCGTGCAAATTCTACCACTGGAGAAACCGTGTGATTCTTGCGCAAAGATCAATGCGGATAATAAGGTTTGATAAAAAGTTTGATGTCAATCTTTTTTTCGTCAAATTATGATATATTACGAGCTTTTTTGGATATTTGTTTCTAAGCGAAGAAAACATTTCTTCAGCATATTGTTAATGTGTACCACTGTGTATTTATTAAGATTTATACATTTCTTATCATATATATCTTTATTATCATTTATGAATATTTCACAATTTAACATATCGATACGATTTTATTACGTTATATATACGTTAATTAATCTACTATATCATTTAGACAATATACGTGAGATGTTTACAACATATGCGACGAAACCAAACAAGCTCACATCCCATTTATTGGGTGTTTCGGACTGATGAGATATTTCACGAAACGTCCCAAGATAAAGTGTATCGAGCTACAACAAAAGATCTTGTAGAAAAGTATGAATTGATAGTTGAAGTCGATAATATAGCGACATTTCCTATTGCATTGGGATGATAAAATTAGTATTGTTCAATACATCGGTAACAAATTAAATTATGCTAAATTAAAACATTAAATTTGAAATTATTAAATTTAAAATTAATCTAAATTTTATTAGAATTTTTATTAATTATAATCGAAAAAAATTTTCTATTATATGTATACCTGTGCTAAAAAATTTTTCTTATCATTTTTATTGATATCAAACTTAATTGACTTTTATTATAATTTTCGCATATGTTATTAATATTATATATTGATTATGTCGTAAATATTAATGTAGGTACATACAATAGAAATAATTAATTTAATTATATCGTTATATTATTAAATATATTGTATAATTATATTTGCATATTACTAATTAATTCTAAATTCAGTATTGTGTATCAAATTATTATTAATAATATTACAAATGTTAATGTCAGCATTTGAATTAGCAGAAATTAGTAAAGGTTATCAAGTTTTCCATCAATAAAATTGATAGAAACATTTTTCAAGATAATAAAAAAATTTTTTCGATTGTAGTTAATTACAATCTTTAGATAAAAAATTAGTAATTTCGTATTTTTTAAAATAAAAACATCTGAAAAAATATATAATATTCGATGAAATAATAATATAGTGTAAAAAGTATCTGACAAAATACGGAAAACGCCGTGTAACGACTATAAAAATTAATAAAATTATATAATATATTTAATATACGGAAATAATTTAAGAGTTTTAGGCGGCATAAATTGCGCATTGATCGGTTACGGACAAACCGGATCTGGAAAAAGTTTCACGATCGGCAGTAGTATAATGGCAGGTATGGCCCGTCAAAACAAACCCCCACCACCGACCCGTCTGGCGCCGGGTCTTATCTTATCTTTCCCCCACCACCGGCGTCTGGCTTTTCCGAGTGTGGGTGTTAGGGGGAAAGGGTGTTGGGGGAAAAAAAAATGGCGACTGGCCCCGAAAGGTGGGGATGAGAATTTTTATTTTTATTTTTTCTGATTTTCTCTGGATTTGAACCCGGGACCTCCGTGTTTCCGAGCAGGGTCCTAGTATGTTGAGCTAAACGAGATCTTACTAGTCTAAGGATTAGATGTGGTATTTAAGCTAAAGTTGCGTAGAGTACGGCATGGGGGTTCGGGTATACGTATGGCAAGGATAGCTCGTCGAATCAAATGGTCGATATTGGACGGGGGTGGGGTAAAAACAGTTCGGGTATACGTATGGCAAGGATAGCTCGTCGAATCAAATGGTCGATATTAGACGGGGTGGGGTAAAAACATTTTGGCCAAGAAAAGCGTCGTGCGGTCGACCGGTGGCAGGTAGTAGCTGACAATGGCGTAGGGTAATAAAAAAGAACACGCAAATATTTGTACAGGCGAGCATTCCGACTCGCGTCACGATAAAAAATAATAATACATCGTCGTAGATTAGAAAGATGTCAGATAAAATTTTATTTTAAAATAACTCGCTGCTTAATGAAGGTAAACAGGAACATGCATGTGGAGGAAATTTCTGGAAAGAGGAAGTGAAAGAAAATTGAACAATAGTTTTAAAAGTACAAATATGGATTATATTTAAAATATTTTTACAGAACAAAATTTATTTATTCATACTAAAATTCATATTATATATTGTTATAATTCGCTTATTTTTTGTGAGTAAAAATTTTACGAAATAAGTGTATGATTAAACGATCGTTATATTCACAATCTTCGGAAAAAAGAGCGAGAAACTGATTAAGATTATAACCGCTGCACATATAATATAAAAATACACAGCAGTATTGTCCGCAAGTCTTAGAAAAAATTCCTTGTAATTGTTGAATATTCCAACGATGGATGATGGAGTTTCGTCGAAGTCGGATGAGAAATCCTGGATACAAGGGGGGCAATCCGTAGCTGTCGAAATAAGTGGCTGTACCGTGTTCATCGAGGTAGAAGGCGATCCAATGTTCTCCAGGTCGATCGTGATTGTCGGTGTTAGCGACGATAGCCGTCGACCTCGTCCACACCCTCGGAACTCTGTCGGCTGCATAGACTCCAACATGTCTGGCATCGAGATGATGCAATGCTTGTAGAATTTCGCGAGAGTTCATTTTTTTTTGTCCCGAATACGAACGAGTGTACGGTATTATTTGAACAATACCGGTTTTTACCTCTTTCGATAATGCGTCTTCTTCTATCTTGAGTTGTTTTGAGAGGTTTTCAATGTCAGTTTGCGTCGAGATGGAAATTGTTTCGTTCTTGTCCGTCAACGTCGATGACGATTCAGAAATCACAAATCTCTCTTCTTCTTCTTTTTCAATCTGCTGTTCGTTGCTTTGCTGATTTTTTTCCTCTATTTGTATTTTAGTTATATTCTCATTTACATCGCAAGAAACGGCGGTTTCGTATTTATCGTCGCTATCGTCGAAAGTAATTTCCCAACTTTCGTCAGAACTACAAGTAGCTTCAGTAGAGGTCGAAACGTTCTCGCAATTATTTTGCGCACTTAGCCAGCATTTTAATTTATAAGCATTGTATAACGCGCAATGAAAGGTTCCAAATTTTCGAATCCCGTGATGACCGCAATATTGTACGATATCCTCCTCATCCGGTAGATTTTTAAATGCTGGTGAGGTACCCTCCAAATTATTTATATCTCTGGAAAGTAAATTCCTCAAGTAGTTTGCTTTTTCGTTACCTCTGACGTAAATGCAGCGCGCGTGTCTTGCAATTTCGCGGAGATACGAGGTAAAATATTTCGGATTAACTGAGCCGTCGAACCACTCGATGCCGTGATAATTTCGTGAGAGCCAATTGTTTTCTCGTCTTGCTTTTGCGGGTAATTTTCCAAACGCGTATGGTGGCATCATAATCCAGTGCTCGACAATCGGAGTATCGATCGCGACAACGGCGACTTCCTTCGCGATAAATTTATTGGCTTCATCGCGGAAACCTTGTATGTCGACGACTATGTCCATATTGTGAGATTTTCGTTGATGAGGTACAAGCTCTTAGCGAAACGTGCGCGTTTGGTTGTGTCTCGTACAAAACTGAATTTATTCTAGCGCGTTACATAGTTTCCACTCCGTGAAAAGTGTCATCGAAATTTCCAAAGGAAGAGGAGGGGGAAAATTTTCTAATCGCGTATTACATTACGGTGTATGAATACATGTTGGTGAACGAGTGTTAAAAGCTAACCGGAAAAATCGACGATAACTTGACGCGATGCATCGATTTCTATGACATTATCGAATTCGGCGTAAACGATACAATTAATTGTTTCGGTGAGCGCCTTCTCGAATCTCGCTTCTAACCGTAGACTTCCGTGTTTCACGAGATTCCAATGACCGGCGCAATTAGCGGATAGATCGGGTGTAAGATCAAAAGCGAATAACGTATATCCCCGAGAATAATCATCTCTACTTATAGAATTTCCCTCGTTCAAAAAATGGATACCCGTCCCTGAGAAGAGCGTATGATAAGCTTCGATGTAAAGCGGTTCGCGAGACGAGAAAACCGGTTGTAACGGTCTACTGGGTATTTGTGTACCGTCGACGTATAGCGAGAAGAAATTTATTCCGTAATTTTGGAAATTAAACGGATTCAATTTTCTGTCACCGTTAAACGCTTTATTATCGACGAAACCTACTATTATTCGTTTCGGCAATTGTCCCAGTATTACATTATCTAACGATTCACCCACAACCCCGCTGTGAATCGTGAATGTTTTAATTTCAACTCTCGTAAGCGGATACTTGGCGGTAACTTTGCTCAGCATTCTAGCATGCGCTAGTAATACTCCGGAGCTTATTTTCGCTCTTCTCACCATTAGACTTGCATCGAGTATACGAATTTTCGACGTGCAATTAGTTTCTATAAAACAAAACGTATCTTTCGAACGCACGAGTCTCAACCGCACCTCGACGCCATTAATTAAGAATTTATCCTGATTGAAAACGTCGCAATGGAGGTGACCTATAAGATCTAGCGCGCGCCCTCCGCGTATGTAACGAGCTCGTCTCGCTATAGCGGTATTGCCTTCCGCTCCTGCCGTATCGTCCATGTGTCCGGGTGTATCCGCATCCCATAAGCACGAGGTTAGATGGGAAGTTTTTGCGGGCGATGAATAATTTAACAATGCTTCGATGTACGCGCGGTACGCATAAGCGTTGTTTGGAGGCGACACGAGCTTTTGATTGAAATACACGTCGATTTGATTGAAGATGGAATGAAGAAAATGATTTACGGGGCCCACGTTGACGCCTGATCCGGCGGCGAGACCGGGTAGCGGCTCGGTTTCTACGCGTACCCGAAGACTTAGTAACGTGTGTGTGAGATCTAAATATTCTTCTCCGTGACCCGGGATGACGAATTCTAGCGGGGAGTCGTCCGAAAGCGAGGTCACGGGTTTGTAATGAATCCATTGCGAACTTTCGATGCTAGTTTGCGTGGGCGGTAAAGAGAAGAGATCGAGCTCGCTCTTTAAACACTCGCTCGAGTGTGTGTGAAGAAATGACATTCTTTTCTATCGTCGCCCGCTCTACCAGCGTTATTGTCACGGACAAGCGTATTTAGAAATAATGGTGATTATGAAAATATATCGTATACTGTGCGCTTTTTACCGCTACTAGCTTTACGCCGTTTCGCGGACGATTTGAGCCTTTTACAGTCGAGCGATTTTTCCTCGTATTATTTTTAGTTTTTTTGTATTTGTTCTTTTTTTCCCACGAG